GAATGCCATTATCTTTTAACTCCATTTTCCCACAGACTTTTAAAAAGCTCCCTTGTATATTCATGAATTAAAAAAAAATTCTAGCCTTCATTGAGCTCAGTCTTCTGGGTGAAACTGAAAATAAAGAAATAAAATATAAAATACCTCTGCACTAGCTGACTTGGGTGTTTCAGGCCCCAGTGGTCAGCACCCCGAAGCAGGTGTGTCTCCTCTCTCTCATACACCCAGTTTCCATCATGAGTCAATAGCAGGTGGCTCTAGCCCTACACTGTGGGCACAGCGGGGTCAGAGATGGAGTTACCACTGCTATGTTCCCCTGGTGCCTAGTTTGGTGCCTGACAGACATAGAAGGCACACAGTGGGGTAATCAAACCACAGTCAACCTCATACAAGCGTACACACACACACACACACCTTTATATGTATATATTCTATATACATACATATCCAGACTATATATATGTATATGCTATATACACACACACTCAATGCCTTAAACGTTATCTGGCACATAATGAGAGCTCAATAAATAGTTGCTGGAGGAGTGAATGAATGAATGAATGAGTGAGTGAGTGAGTGAGTAGACTGATGGATGAGTTTCAACATATGGCGGCAAAGGGCAGCCCTTTCTGGGAAGTTCCAACCAGAAGGTCACCATTTGAGTCCTTGCTCTTCCCAACTCCAACAGCCCCAGCAAGTGAACACAGTAACAGCATTGACACTGCCACCCCTGACACTTGGCATTCCCAAAGGAAACTTCTCCGGGGTTCTTGCTCAGCCTCTCGTGGGTTCTCCAAGCTCAGGGCGCTCAACGTTGGGAGAAAAGTGTCCCTTAAGGGCCTGCAATTGGTACACGACCTCAAACCTGAGACGCCCAAATCCTCCCTCGGAGGCCTAAGACGGGGAACTGTGAGTACAGACGGCAGGAACCGCCTCAGCCAGATGACTGGGGGAAAGAAGCCGCTCAGAGGCCGGCAGCTACCAGGAAGTGAGAAAAAGCAGCCGAGGGAAGAGTCAACGAACAAAGGAAAACACCTTACACAGGAGCCCCAGTCTTTAGCTCAGGACCAAGTTCTGTAATCACGCGTGGTAAAGAGAAGGCTGCGCCCAACAGCACCCCGCCTCCTTTGGCTGCCGGATCTATTTAAGAGTCCGTTTACAATGCTGCCTTCGTGAAGAGTAGAAACTGCATGTGGACCTTTGTAAACTCTGAAGCAGTACCGTGACAGCGATCCTTGGCTAACATCCACCGGGGCATGATCAAACACCAGGCACAGGTTAAGTGTTTTACGTGCATGGTGTAAAATTTAATCCTCTCACCAATCTTGTAATCACCTTTACCTGACCCAAACTCACTCCACTCATGCCCTCAACCTCTCCCACCGTCTGGTGATGCGGGGAAAGGCTGCACCTGAGACTATCCGTATGGCTCCCATGTCTCATCAAGACCTACCAAAGAGTTAGCTTTCTCGGGACATTTTCAAGCACAAATCAGCCCTATTTCCAACAAGGGAAAGGGACTTGTCCTCAAAGAGCCTGTACCCCCAGCTAGCAGACCTCCCTGAGGGTGGCTAGCTCAGCTCATGACAGTCTTCACTCCCAGACACAAGAGCCGGGGCTCTTGGCGGCCATGTCTATCTATACCTGCTGGCATGGCTGGCTGGTCGAAACAGACCCTGACCGAACTGACCTAACCCATTTTCCCTGCCCCAGGAATGGTGGACAGCACTCTGGAGCCTGAGTGGTGGCAGGCTGGAGGAGAAGGCCACAGAGTCGGCCTGTATGGGGGGGGCAAGAGCTGCTTCATGCAAGATGCCATGGTATCTGCTCTCCGCTGAAAACTCGTCAGGCCATTGTATTTGTTTGTTTGTTTGTTTGTTTTTGCTGCCACAACCCAGACAACCTGAACCACCTAGCATGCTTCCCTCCCCGCTTCCAGCCTAGCTTCTCCTGGGGGTGGGCAAGGGATCCTGGAAGTGGGGTAGGCAGGGTGCATGTGAGCAGTTGTCACTACCAGCAGGGTCGATGAGGGGAAGTGTGTTTCTTCCCCCTCCCTGCTTGGAAGTCCAGAAGAGTCCCCCATCTTTTGAGCCAGCAGTCTAGGCTTCTTTGGGTGAAATGGTATCACTCTGTGGGCATTCATCGTTCCTGATGAGGAGGAAGAGAACCAGGCGGGGAAGACGTCCGCCCGTTCCTGCTCCTCTTAGACAAGTACCCTCACTCTGTGCACCTGTGTGACCTCCTTCACTCAAGTAAACATTCTCCTGCACCGATCAGCAGGCCAAGCCAGCGCACCACCACGGCAGACACGTGCATTTCTCTCGCAAGGGTGCCAGCCTGCCTGCTTACTAACGTGGATTTGGGAAGATGATCTCTCTAGACCCCCCAGGTTTGTCATCTGTGCCAGGCCTATGGCAGGTGGGTCATTAGCGTAAAGAGAGACAATGTATAGGAAACCCTTAGAACCTCAGCACCTATCAATCATCATGAGCGGAACAGATATCCCCCTCTATCTGAAACAGTCAGACCTTTCAGAAAGTCTCTTGAACTATAAGCTGTAATAGAATTCTCTTAGGATGGAGTGAAACGGGCTGGGGGACCCAGCCAACAAAGCTACTCCACAGGATGGAAAACAGGCTCTAAGAGACCAGGCAGGTGGGTATGCAGGGGCTGGGCTAACTGCTCTGATCAAGGGCATCATCAAAGTTGATACAGTGGTTGACAACTCAATGCAGGGGTTGGCAATGCAGGGGTTGGCAACTCGGAGACGGTGCCTGCTGGAATATTCCCAAGCCCTACAAGTGGCTTCCCGAGCCAGCTTTCATCCTTAGTCCCTCAGTTTGCTTCTGTTGCAACTGCTGTGATTGTGTCCAGGGGCTCTTGGTCTCAGACGGAAGAATGGACGTAGGGACCACCAGAAGAAGGCAGAGCTTATTTGGCAAGGAGAGAAAAGTACCCGATGCAGCAGGTGGGGACCCGAGGGAGCTGCCACTCAAGGAACCGTGTCCAGGGGCTTCGATCTGGTGTGGGGGACTTGGCCGGCCTGGTCTCCAGGTTATGAATGGACATCCTGGCTCTGGTCCTTTTCCTCCTGTCAAATCATGAACCTGGTCATACTCTGTTCACGGCTGGTCTTGGCATGACGGTATGGACCGGGAAGTAAGCAAGTGATAGGTCAGCAAAGAGAGTCTTGGGTTTGCTGACTGGGGAGTTTAAAATCAGCCTGGGGGTCTAACGCCTGCTGGTTTAAGAATTAAATTGTCCAAGGCAGTTGAAATCAGCCCATTCCAATGTACATCCTACTGCTTCCAAAGCTTCCGGCAGTGCCTCACTTTGCCGGCAGGCTCTCCCTCTCCTATCGCTTACTTCTCCGGTCACTCCCCTGTTCCGGAATCTCAGGGGCTTGTCTGGGAAGGATAAACCCCAAAACACACTGCCATCAGTTCTAGGCCAACTTACAGCACCCCTATGGGGCAGCAGGGAACTGCCCCCTGGGGTTCCTAGGGTTTGAAATCTGTGTGGGTGCAGGCAGCCCTCTCCGTCTCCCATGGAGCAACAGGGCGTTCAAACCACTGTGGATTCTAACAGAAGCTCAGCGAGCAACCCCCTACAATGACACAGGGCTCCTTCTATAGGAAGAAAAGAATCTCTGGGTTCCAGGGAAGGAGGTTCAGGGCTCAAAGAACGTCCACCGGAGGGGCTCCAGGCTCACAACAGCTCCCAGGCACAGAGAGCGTCACAATGGGCGCATCAGAAGGATGCCCTCGGCCTTGCACGACAGGCACGGCCCACTGCCCCTTGTCAGAGCCCAAATCCAAACTCATGGACACAAAGCCAAAAGAGCCAGTGAGCCAGGAGGTTCTCAAGTCTGACTTCCCCACTCGGGAATCCAACCGGGGGACTCTGCCTTCTCTCGTGTTCATGTGCGCCCTTCCCCAGCAGCAGCATGATTTCGCTACAATCCTGTTCTCCGGACCACGGGGAATTCTGAGAGAGGATGAACGCTCCAAGGAGTTAGCCCGTGGCTTATACACTACGGAGAGTCTCCATAGCAGTCGAACGCCAGAGCCCTTGCGGCCTGTGAGAGGTGTGTGGCTGGGAAGTCACAGGAGCCCTGGGCTCGGGTGCTAAGCAGCCTGGCTGCTAAGGACGAGGCCAGCAGTTTGAACCTCCTAGCCACTCTGCAGGAGAAAGATCCGGCAGGTTCTGCTCCGTGGGCATGAGTCAGAATCGACGCCAAGGCCCCGGGTTTGGTTGTTTGGAAAGTCACAGCCTGGTGAAAGGAGCCAGCGAGCTGTGAGCAAGTGTTCTCTGAAGATCTTGTTCTCTAAGTTTGGGTTTCACCTTTATGTTAGTCAACGAGAGTTATCCTTATCTCTTCCTTCTAGGGCACCTGGAAACGCATGCAACAAGTACAGAAAATCTCCAAGGGGCAGAGAAGAAGCCACTTCAGGTGGGGCATGAAGCAAGAATCAAACCAGGGAGAGACAAGGATGCCCAGGCACAGAGAAGGTCCAACCCAGAGTCAGGAAATCAGTCGGAGCTCCCAAGCCAAGGCCCAGGGGAGGAAGATCCAGGAGCCTGCCCTCTAAGACAGTCCCCGGTATTGACATCTGGCTTCTAGGCCTCAAGCCTCAAAGCCCAGAGG